ATGCGGGGCTCGATCCCAGGACCCTGGGATCATGACCTGAGCCGAAGGCAGACGCTTAACGACTGAGCCACCCAGGCGCCCCAAAATTTGCTGAATTTAACAGGGTCCCCCAGGTGATTCTGAATGAGGTGAGTCCTTGGCCTGTGATTTGCAATTTGGCCAATTAACTAGCTTTTCAAAATATTCTTGCTCCAGGGAAGACGCTTGGGCTCTGGAGCCCAGCCGTTATTAGGGGATGTTTGCCAAATGCCACCAAGTGCCGGTGCTTCTCTAGGTGTCCTAATGCTCTGATAAGGTACCTATTGTACCCATTATACAGGAGAGAGAATTTGCCCCATCCGTTAGGAAGGGGCACAATTCCACCCAAGTCCAGTCAAGTCCATAGTTATGTTTTTAGCTCTGTCGTTCTGCTTTTTAGGCTCAAAAATGCGATCAGTAAAATGGCAGTGGTAAAACCTGGAACAGTCATTGTCAGCACTGGGGATGTGAACTGTCACTGAGCGTGTCATGGGGCAGGTGATTTGCCCGATGCTTTTGTTTTTATTAAGGTGTTTGTGATCTCTGCTTCAGATTTTTTTCGAGAACTCTTATCGAATTGGTGGACTCTCCAGCCAGGTATGAAAGGGCTCCTTTTTTGTCACTGGTCTCTGAGGAGGAGGAGTCTGTTAGGAGGGGCCCCTAGATTTGATTCAAGCTACCATCCAGGTTTCTTTATCAAAAGGCATCTTTTTGGACCCCCCAGGAGGCAGATCTAATGCCAAATTAGATGCGAATTAGTTCCGTCCACCACTCCTTTGAGTAATTCAAGCCAAAAGTGGCTTTCAGGGGTCTAAATGATCCCCATCAGTACTGGTTTTCTGCTTTAACTACAATGTTGTGGCCAAGTCACACTGGTAGGATTAGCCTGCAGGCCCCGCTGCCACCTAACAAAAGGGGCAAAAATAGATGAAGGAAATAGCTGTGCCTGCAGGAGGCCGAGTGTCTGGGTTAGCAGGCTCCAAGTCCCCGGGGACGCAGGACGCCAGGGCGGGGCTGGTCCAGGAAAGTGACCCTCTCCGGCCCCGGGGGTGGGGGGGAGCTGGCTTCTCCTGCCCCATTTGAACATATCCCTGCTACTTGGTCAGTGCTCTGTAAACCTGTTTAGTGGAACCAGGTATTTAAAAAATACTCTTTAACAAGAACACTGATGTTTTCTTTCTGGGACTAGTAAGAGGCCTGGAAGTTTTTACTCCAGGAGGGATGCCTGGCACACTAGCAGCTGAGGGGATGAACCCAGCGACAAGGGCAGTAGACAGTGGTTTAGACTCAAGCACCGGCCCTGCAAGTTACAGTCCTTGTTCCCAATCTCAACTCTGCTAAATGGCAGTTGCAGGGTCTGGGATATTACTGAAGAAAAGCAAGATTTAGATTCTTATGCAACAGAAATTGCTGGTAGTATCTTTTCCCCAAGGCTATTATGGAGATCACATGAGCTAATGCCAGGGGGCTACTTAGCGTCCGGTACCTGGTAACCGCTCAGGAAGCCGGAGCCGTGACCCTGAGGCCCACAGTTCCCCTCTGCCACAGCTCACAGCAGCACCTGGTGCTCACCTGTTCCTGCAGGAGGAGTTCCGAGGCCACACAGAGAGGAGAGCCCAGGATGCCACCTCCGCCAGCAGGAAGGTTTCTTGGCACGCTTTACCCCAGAGCACCCCCCAGCCCGTCTTCTGTCCGTGAGGGCGGGCAGCGGCTTTGTACCAGTCTGCAGTCCGCAGGAATGCTGGTCAGAAGCCGGCTTCCCTCATTTCTCTGCCCTCGGCCAGAACGTAAACAAAGCCTGGGGCTTGTTTTTTCCCCTTTAATTCAGTATCTTCAAGGGAACTCATGAACACCAGCCACCCCATCGATACAGGCTTCCAGCTGTGCACGTTTTTTAAATTACGTTTATTTAGCGTATGTACACATAAAAGAGAAATCGCCCTCTGATCCCACCCAGCAGAAAACATGCACAAACCCCAGGTATACGTGGAGGGAAGGGGCCCCAGCCCCAAGTTAGTGGTTGGGATGGTGCCATCCTGGGAGTCCCAAGCCCCAACAGGAGAGGGCTGGCCTGAGGGGGCGGGCCGCCCACTGCTGCCAGCCCTAAAATAAGCGAGCGCCGTAGCCGAAGGTCTGTTTGATGCCCTCGAAGTAGTACCGCTGCCAGCCCTGCCGCGTTCGCTCCTCCTCGGGGGCCGGGACGCCTCTGCCTTCCATGCACAGCTCCGTCTCTCCGTTCTTGTCCAGGAAGGTCAGGGTGATGGTGGCAAAGTGCCCT